CTGACCACGATTCGGATACGAAATTGGCCAACGAATTCGGACAGTTCTTTCACGATAAGATTGATAACATCGTCGCCAGTCTGGAAGACTCCAAGCATCAAACAGACTGTGAATATCAACACATGGCACACACATTCTCCGCCTTTGAACCTGTCTCTGAAAGTGCAGTTCGGAAAGTGATTCGAGACAGTCCATCAAAATCATGTCAACTTGACCCAGCACCCACTTGGCTGCTGAAAGAGTGTCTGGATGAGCTTGTGCCATCTATTACTCAACTGGTGAATCGTTCACTGTCTTCAGGAGTCGTTCCCATGGCATTCAAAACATCGCCTGTGGTTCCTCTCTTAAAGAAGTCAAACTTAGATCCAAATGACTTTAAGAATTACAGACCGATTGCCAACCAGATGTTCATTGCTAAGGTGCTAGAGAGGATCGTTGCTGCTCAGCTACGAGCGTATCTCGATGATAATGGTCTGTTTCCTGTCATGCAATCTGCGTATCGGCAGTACCATTCGACTAAAACAGCCCTTTTGAAGGTTCACAATGATCTTTTGCTAGCTGTTGATAAAGGACTGGAAGCTGTCCTCATTTTGCTAGACTTTTCGGCTGCGTTTGATACGATAGATCACACCCCTTTGATACAGCGCTTCCATCATAAGTACGGACTCGATGGAGTTGTCTTACAGTGGCTTGTTTCCTACTTGGAAGATCGGAAGCAGGTCATTTTTATCAATGGTGTACTGTCACAAGCGTTTCCACTCTCATGGGGAGTACCTCAAGGATCCGTCATGTGACCTCTGGATTTTATCCTGTACACTGGTGCCATGAGTGACGTCATAAGTGCCCATCAAGGTGTTCAACATTATGATATACGCTGACGATACACAACTGTATCTGATACTCAAACAAAGTGAGGTTTCCAGCGGGGTTGTGAGACTTGAGCATTGCATCTCTGATGTTAAAGCCTGGGCGAGTAGCAATAACCTAATGCTGAACGGCGCCAAAACAGAAATCCTGCACGTCACTTCTCAGTTTCGGAACTCTGGTGAGCTACCAGATTTCAACATTGATGGCGCAGTAATCACTCCTTCAAAATCTGCTAGGGACCTTGGAGTTACAGTGGACAGCACCCTGAATGTGAAACGGCACATTCGTAACTCCTGTTGAGCAGCTGCCAATGGAATCCACAAAATTGGGAAACTCAGAAAGTACCTCAACCAAAGTTCCACCGAGCGTCTAGTAAATGCTTTTGTTACGTCCCGCCTTGATTACTGTAATAGTTTGTTAATAAATTTACCCATTTCTCATTTGTCGGCACTTCAACATATCCAGAACTAGTGGAGCTGCTAAGCGAAAAATTGTGCACTTTGTGGTAAAAGCATGAAATTCGGCATGTGGGGTCAAAATGGGCTAAATATCATTTTAAGATCGGGACCCATCCTGGATCTTGCCCATTTTGGGGGCGGAGCTTGATTTTTCAAAAAAGGGGGTGCAAACAATACAAACTCATGAAAACTGTATTTAACATCAAATTTCCTTGGTTTTTTACGCTTTGAAATAAACTTAAACATGAAATAAGACATTCTAGCATTCTAACACCTATTAATTTTCCACCCATTTTGTGGGCGTGGTCTAAATGGTAAAAGAGGCGGTATATATCAGCAGTTTGGTTCTAATATGGAAAACATCATTCAGTTTGGTGGTAAAATTCTGAAAATTGGCATGTCCAATTGAAATGGGCGAACATAATTTTTAGAGGTGAACGCATCTTGGATCTTGCCCATTTGGGGGGCGGAGCTTGATTTTTCAAAAAGGGGAGTGCAAAAAAATAAAAACTCAGAAAACTGTATTTACCATTCACTTTGTTTCTCATGCTTTGAAACAAAGTGGATGTAAATTCTAACATTCTAACGTGTTATTTTCACCCTTTTGCGGGCGTGGCCTAAATATGTAAAGAGGCGGTACATTGGAGCAGCTTGATTCAAACGAGGGAAAATCTTCATTTTTGCTGGTAAAAACACAACTTTTCCATCGGTTAACTATGTTTACCATACACTATAAAGATAAGTTTAAACGGTTGCAAGACTAATTGTTGCCCTTTAGGGGTGGAGCTACATTTTAAAGTAGGCGGCTATAAAAAAATCATATCTAAATTGTTATGATTGTCTACAAGTAACTTACACAGGGTGAGTCAAAAAAAGGAAACCCAAATGGCAGGACAATTTTTTTTAATGAAGTTTTGCATGTAGCACTATCAAAATCAGATGAACTTCAAATTTGGTTTGTGTATTTTTCTTGGTAATCCTAAGAAGCCTATTGCATTTGGGGCCGAAAGGTCAAGGGTCAAGGTCACAGTGGCTGAAACAATAGAAATTTTGTCAGCGCGATAACTTGAGAAATACTTTACATATGAACTTCAAATTTAGTTTGTGGATTGTCCTTGGCAATCCTAAGAAGCCTATTGCATTTTGGGCTAAAAGGTCAAGGGTCAAGGTCACAGTGGCTAAAACAACAGAAATTTTGTCAGCGTGATAACTTGAGATATAATTTACATATGAACTTCAAATTTGGTTTGTAGATTGTCCTTGCAATCCAAAGAAGCCTATTGCATTTGGGGCCAAAAGGTCAAGGGCAAGGTCACAGTGGCTAAAACAAAAGAAATTTTGTCAGCGCGATAACTTGAGAAATACTTTACATGTGAACTTCAAATTTGGTTTGTGGATCGTTCTTGGTCAAGGGTCAAGGTCACAGTGGCTAAAACAATAGAAATCTTGTATTTATTCTGAGATCATAGAGATTAGGGATTAATTCATATAAAACCTACACGAACGTGTTTGCTTAATTTTCATTCATACAGATGCTAGTAAATGCTTCAAAATTGGAAGTAAAAGCAAATGCCATGTTTTATTCATACGAACATGGTATCATTTGTACTTTATGAACTTTGTTAATATTAATTTTTCGCGATTAACATATAATAAATGCTGTAGCTTTTGCGCAGAATTATTTGCTTTATAATTTCAAGGTTGCCCCAACCCAGCCTTGTGAATGACAAGTGCATATTTGAAATCTGAAGCATTTACTCCTTTATAGTCATACGAAAAGTACAGATGGGAGTAATGCAAATGCCAGTTTTTATTCATACGAACTACCGTATGGTATTATTTGTACTTTTTCGCGATTAACATTAATAAATGCAGTAATTTTTGCCCAGAATTATGTGCTTTTATATTTTCAAGGTAGCCCCAACCCAACCTTGAAATATGACTAGTAAATATTTAAAATTTGTAGCATTTACTCCTTTTTATTCATAAGAAACGAAGTAAACGCTTATAGTGTAGCAAAAGCTTAAAGGTAAAAGTAATTATTTTCAGAATTTAGCAAACGGTTTTTAGTAAAAGTGTTTGCTTAATTTTCATTCATACAGATGCGAGTAAATGCTTCGAAAGTGGTAGAAAAAGCAAATGCCATGCTTTATTCATACAAACATATGGTATCATTTGTACTTTATGAACTTTAATAAATGCAGTAGTTTTTGCGCAGAATTATTTTGCTTTATAATTTCAAGGTTGCCCCAACCCAGCCTTGTAAATGACAAGTGCATATTTGAAATCTGAAGCATTTACTCCTTTTTATTCATACGAAACGAAGAAAACGATTATTAGGCCAAAAAAGGCTCTGGTTTCTGGCATGCGCGCACGTCGCCATAGCCATGCGCGTCGGCAATGTAAGATGATGTCTTTCAATGTAAGATGATGTCTCAAACCACCAGACTCACTGGTTCGACTGGAATCCTGCTGCTGCACAATTTTAACGTGTTATTTCTCATAAAGTTATTTCTCATGTCTAAGTTTATTTCAAGCATGAAGAACAAAGGAAAATGGATGTTAAATACAGTTTTTCTGAGTTTTTTTTATTTTTTGCACTCCCCTTTTTGAAAAATCAAGCTCCGCCCCCCAAAATTGTGCAAGATCCAAGATGTGTTCACCTCTTAAAATTATTTTCAGCCCATTTTAACTGGCCAATTTTCAAGATTTTACTACCAAACCGAATAATGTTTTCCATATTAGAACCAAACTGCTAATATATACCGCCTCTTTTGTACATTTAGGCCAGGCCCACAAAATGGGTGGAAATTAACTGGTGTTCGAATGCTAGAATGTTATATTTTATGTTTAAGTTTATTTCAAACCATAGAAAAACAAGGAAAATGGATGTTAAATACGATTTTTATGAGTTTGTATTGTTTGCACCCCCTTTAAAAAAAAAATCAAGCTCCGCCCCCAAAATGGGCAAGATCCAGGATGGGTCCCGATCTTAAAATGAATTCTAGCCCATTTGGACCCAACCTGCCAAATTTCATGCTTTTACCACAAAGTGCACGATTTGGGCCAAAAATGGACCTAAGCAGCTCCACTAAACACAGCAGCTCGTCTCATCACGCGCACAAGGAAACATGAACACATAACCCCAATCCTTCGTGCCCTACACTGGCTCCCCATTCCACAACGCATCCAATTCAAGATCCTCCTTCTCACTTACAAGGCTCGAAACGGACTTGCACCCTCATACATCAAGGAACTCATCACACCCAAACTGCAAACCTCTTCCATCCATCTCCGCTCATCACCCACAGCACACTTGCAACTTGCTCCTGGTTCCCGTACCCATACTCGATACGGCGATCGAGCCTTCTCCGTCTGTGCTCCCAAACTTTGGAACAATCTCCCCATCGTCATACGGGATTCCCAAACTCTGAACATTTTCAAACCAGATTGAAAACACACCTATTTAACTCCGAGTCAACGTAGACACATTTGACACTTCTTTAGTTGTTGCACTACATTGTATTACATGTTTTGTTAATACCTGTATATTTTGGTATTATATACTTACGTATGTTTACTTTTTGTAAAGCGCTTAGAAACACTGCGTATTAAGCGCTATATAAATGTTAATTATTATTATTTATTATTATTATCCAATACCTGTTATTGCAGTGCCGGTATATTTTATCGTTTCATTTGATACCAGCGTGGTCCCGTATCGAAATAATACAAGAGGGACATCTTCGTGACTTTCCATGAGGATTATCTCCGTGACTTCACCGTGACTTTTCTTGAGTGTTGATCCGGCCCGTCTCGGTGCTTGACCGGGGCACTGGCAGCCCGTCATGCCGGTCTGCGCCTCGATACGCCGGCATCTGGCCGTCAGGAGCGACATAGCACGAGGCATGCTGGCTGAAATGGCAGGAACCTTCATACTGGTTGTAAGTAGAGCCAAGTCGTATTTACAAGAAAGTGTGCCCGAGATGCAAACTTAAATGAACCCACAACATTTCATCAGTTGGCAATTTTGGGTGTCCAATAACTCCCTAAAATCTTCTACATACTAAACGTTAAATTTACTTTTGAAGCGGATGCATGGCTTCCCTTTATATTTCCAGTCATTTTTTTTAAGGTTAAAAGCCTATCTTTATGTCTGCACCTTAAGCCCGTTTTAGAGCATTGTTTACACGCGGTCAAGTATACATTTAGTTAATTTGACAAATGTATACCCCACAGTTACTGTAGTAACTGTAGAACTGTAGCCCAATGGAACACTCTATACTGGTAGATATTAGGGACTCACCAAGTTTACCTGTCTTCAAATCTAAATTCAACAACAGAATTCTCCTCACATTCACAAAGGGGGCTCTTAATTAATATGCTGCGAGTACCGCGTCTGTGCCCTGTGCAGGGTATATCATATCAAGGAGTTTGCACAGTATTCTACAGATGCGATGTAGATGCATGTGCAGATACATGCAGGCGTCCTTTGAATGAGCATTATTCCAAAAACTGGTAGGCTTAATAAATGGTCGACAATTCAATCACATCATTTTAAAACACATACTTTTGCCAGAAAACACTCTTAAACACATTGGGCATTATTCTATTTATCCGGAAAAAAAATGAAGAGAGAGTTAAGTAAAACTCTCCTTTTGTAATACTTTTTATATGTAGTTCATTCGTTGTTATTTTGTTCACTCTCACCATTAGTTATTCGTGGATGGCGGACTAGCCCAAGGTATCGTCAGTGGCTGGACATCCGGGACACCCGTTTCCACCGCACTGACCTCAGGCATGGGCGTGGCCTTCGGTATCTACACAGGTTTAGGGGTATCAGGTGCGTGTATAGGGTCGTAATATAGTGAGTATGCTGCAGCTGGACTAGATAGAAAAACACACAGACCGAAAGAAGTTGGGGGAAGTTGGAGCTTAAGTTGACCGTCGATTGTGGAATAATTTTATTTTGAGTGATGAACAAAGTAACTTTTGGTTCCTTTGGATTATTCTGCAGCAATCACGTGGGCTTTTACGTGGGCTAGGGTTTTCGAAAAACTGTAAAACTTCGGTTTATTCCCTTAAAATTTGAGTTTTTATTTTGATGATTTTTTTTTCAGGAGGGCACGTGAATCCATCCATTACTCTGGGCTTGGCTTCTGTCGGCAAGTTTGCCTGGCGAAGGGCTCCGCTGTGGATACTCGCCCAGTTTCTGGGCGCATTCGCTGCAGCGTCTGTTGTATTTGGAATATACTACCGTAAGTTTGAAGAGCTACCAACACGCTCGGTATTCAGAAAAACTGTAGCAAAACACTACATACAGAGATACATACTGACAGGTTGATTCGAAACAGCACAAGGATGGTGTATGCGCACGACTGTTCCTGGTCACAGTTTTTGCGGACAATATGTGTGATTTTGAAAAAAAATTACGAGGTTAATGTCTGAACCTATTAAACCAAAATAAAACGACGTATTTTACGATGTAACGACAAAATAAGGACGTGGAATTGTTTTAGAGCGTCGTTAGAGTAGTAAACGGAGACTTGTATTTTAATACCGAGGGAAGAATTCGCAGTGTTGGGACATATATAAACCGAGTACGATTTCGCATGTATCTTTTTGGCAATTTTTTTTTGGCTAAAGACTCACAAGTTTTGAGATGATTTGATTTTGAGATAATTTGATTTTATTTGATTGTATAGCTGGGTTGGATAATTTTGACGGAGGCAACCGGACGGTTTTCGGGCCGACCGGGACGGGAGGGATTTTTTGCACTTATCCGCAGCCGTACTTTGGGCTCTGGGCCGGCCTGGCTGAACAGGTAAGACTTGCGTTGCTTTGCCAAACAAAAAATGATTTCTTTTTACAGAAGATATTTTCCTGAAGTTTATTTAGCTGATGTAGAATGTAGAATGAATGATCGCACCTGTTAAACAGTGCACATTGACCATCAGATCACGACTTTCGTCTGACCACAGGTATAGCTCGGTCAAATTCGCGGTCAAAAGCATTGTGAGAAATGTACACAAACCACCGGGACGGGTACATCACTGGCGTCCGACTGAAAAAAATTGTACAATATTGAAATGGCTCAAGTTTTTGAATGTGTAGGTACGGGTATCCAACCATCATGTAGTTTGAGTAATGATGAACAGTTATTTTCGATGGATCGTTTATTTCGAAAGCAGTTGATACCTCCGAAACTTTTGAGCCGTCTTCAAAATATTCAAGTGAAAACGTCCATAGTGAACTGAAGAAGTTAATACCTCAACAGATACTCAACACGGGTCTCCTGTTGCACTGCACGATGATGTTTTTCGACGAGAGAAACGGCAAACCGACCAAAGGGATGGAGCCGTTCTTTGTGGGTCTGTCTGTGGCCGTGATCATCCTGGCCTGGGGACACAACGCCGGGGCACCCATGAACCCAGCCAGGGACTTGGCTGGTAGGTTCCTGTCATGGCTGGTCGGCTACGGAAGCGAAGTGTGGATGTAAGTTTCGTGACCCTCCCCCTCAGTTTACTTTACACCAATGCGACATCAATGATGCATTTAAAGTGTATCAAACTGAACTCATATTCATTAACAGCTCTGTGAAAATAACGTTGGAAATATTATAGTTTGTAATAAAAGTCAAGACTTCCTTATTATGATCCAATCGTCCCTTTTGTCAGACCTCGCGGAGTTCACTGGTGGTGGGTGCCAACCTTTGTACCGCTGTTAGGGGGAGTATGCGGGGCCAACTTTTACTTTCTGCTCGTGGAAATTCATCACCCGAAGGAGATGGGCGATAACTACGGCACAGAGGGGTCGCCAGCAGCAGTTGAACATATTGGTGAGCAGAGCTTTTGTGGGCATTGCTGTTCCTCGAGTTTGTCCAAACGTTTCCTCCCGATGGATTATTTGATTGACTGTTTTTTTCTAGGCAACTATCTAATGAATACATTTAATTTAGGGAATGAACACAATTTGGAGCATTTGTGCAATGCAAACCTTGTTTGTAACTCTTTGCAGTTTTAACAACTTGCAAGAACGCAATGGATCGTCGACTTTTTAAAAATTACGTTTTTGGTAAGGTCCAAACCAAAGTGAAATCCTGACTGCGTCACTGTTGCTCAACCAGTTCTCGCCGGGATTATTTTGACCTGAGAACGGAACGAGGAGCGGGATTGATTTTCACTCGACCTCAATAAGCAGCACACTCGTATTTAATTTCAGACCTCGTTCGCTGACAGATATTTCTGGCCTCGCTCCCTGCGTGTTTATCCGTCATCCGTTCCGAATACAGCAAAACGTCATCCGGCGCGAACTGGTTAACACATTATCCCTTGAAGAAGCAAAAACTTATGTCTCCATTCGCACTGTCAAATCCACAGGAAATAAATTTTCTTGATTATTTTCACAGAAATGCAATCGAAAAATAGCCCACCAGAGCCGAATTATGTGGATCGCTCACCGACACACGAATACCACAATCAGAGCTTGGGTGAGGATATGGAGTGAGAAACCACAGCATTCTCGACAGAAGCGTATTAATCCAACTGAAATTCTTCCTGAAATAGATGAGTAAAGCAGTAATTATGAGGCTATGCTGATTTTTAAACAATAGTATTATGGCTTGAAGTAATACAAAGACGCACAAGAAAAAGTAAAGTGAAAATGTGTGTAAGTAAGAATTGATTCTATACTATGTTTCCATGAGATGTACACCTTTCAGCCGTTACGTTTTGAATTGTTGAAAAGACAAAACGACAGAAATATACACGGGTTGTCCCACAAAAAAACTAACAAATTGCATGTGAGTTTGGGAATATTTTCAAATTACCTCTTTTACAGTCAGATAACCATTCTATACCATACGAACTTTATTTCATTCAAATTGATGCATTGGAACAAACTCTATGCTTCATCGAACTCAAGGATTGAAAATCGTCTTGGGCCACTTTCCTTGCGAGAGAAAGTGAGAAAGCACAATTTTAGAGAAACACACAAAAAAAGATTTATTTCCTTTGTTCAAGAGTCACGTGTGACTTATTCTATCGGCTTATGATCTGTAAACTTGATAAATAGAAACAGTGGCCAAGTAGTTTTTTAAGTCCCGTATTGTGATTGTTGTATCTTTTGAACAAAACATCCTAGTGAAACCAACTAAAAGGAATTTGGAAGACCAATTATTCTACTCAGCATTACATTAGACTCGATTTTGAATACTGCCCCCACTTTTCTGAAAACATGCCCGATTCGACTGTTTTTTGTGTGGGACAACCTGTACCATGGTCATTTGGTTTAGATTGTATACGTCGCGTACCTTGCACCTACCTCGCCCTCTGTGTGTGATGTGCTTTCCAGATACACGTAGATAGCCGTTTAGGGTACGGTTAAAAAATGATGAAAATAAATTTCTCGTATATGCAGAAAGAAACACTTATACTTAAAGAAACACTTATTGAGAAATACACAAGATTCGAAAAATTCTACTCATTTACGTATCTCTATGTGAGAAATGAGCACCTGAAAAAAATGTCTGCAGCCGGTTGATAATGACAACTTACTTTATGTAAAGCTTAAGTTTACTGTCCAAAAAATCCAATGTAAGGTTCTATCTAAAAACGTCTAAGTTTAAGTTGATGAGACGAGTCTAAGTTGAGGAGGCAAGTGATATGCGTGTCGCCGTCTGATGAACTAAATATTTTATATTGGTCAAAAACAAGGTAATCATTGGTCTTTGTACGGCATAAAAAAACTCTATGCATAAATAGTATCAAGTTCTTCCAATAGTATGATTTTTTTCCTGTGAGGGTGCAGGCATAAAGCTCAATTTTATTTAAAAATCGAATGAGCAGAATTCACTTTAATGTTCGTTAATAATATTTTATTATTATAGATATTATTGTTCGTTGTTATCCTTTGATGTGGAGAACCTTGGCCTCGTGGTCTGGGCGCAATTTCATAGAGCTGCTTAAGCAGAAAATTTGCTTAAGCACGAAAAAACATTGCTTAGTAAAATTAGGTTACCGGCCAAAACTCCATGTGATGTACATTGCCTGTGACTGGCATTTAGCTGTTGTTTACTTAGCTTAACAATCGCATGGAGTTTTGGCCGGTAACCTGATTTTATTACGCAAGACGTTTTTGTGCTTAAGCAAATCTTGTGCTTAAGCAGCTCTATGAAATTGGCCCCTGGTGCAGTGAACCCCTTGATCTTATGGGTAAATCTGTAGATTGTGGGTTCGAATACAGCCTAGGGTTATTGTGGATGTGCCCTTGGGGAGGGCAAGGCACTTTGTCACGCATTGCTTCTCTCCACCCAGGAGTAAATGGGTACCTGTGAGGGCAGAGATGGTTATGTGTTTGATTTAGCCGATCGTGCCGATATGGCAGCATTGAGCTGTATACTCCCCAGGGAGCTAAGATTGTCTCTCTGTGAGCAGGGGTAATAATGTTGTACCGCGCCATGATAACATGTTTGGTTGATATGTTCGCTATACAAATCCATAATATTATATTAAATTATTATTAAAATCTAGGATAATTCTTTAAATTGAAGTGTCACAAATAAAATTTAACTTTAATATATATATATTTTAATTACAGAGATATTTTCTTTATAATAAATTTGATTAAGTTCTATGAATTTTAATACGACCTTTTGAGAGAAACAAGTCATTTCTGGGTTTTGGAGGACGCAGAAGTTCATCAGAAACGATCGAACCCATCAGCCCATTTATCATTACAATAGTCAACTTGTAAATATTTTATTTGAGAATATCGCTTTAAGATTTATTTCGTGTAATTTGAATCGAGTGAACTCTGTAAATAAGTTGGTTCCTGTTGTTAAATTTAATGACGGGAAACCTTGAGGCTCTTCAAACAATACGTTCTTATTTATGGTGTTATTTTAAAAAAAAATTTAAACGCAGCTTCGATTTAGCTATAACGTTGGCAAAAGAAAAATTGGCAAAAGAAAACCGCGCAAAACGAGTGCAATAATTATAATTTTTCAGTATGATGTGGCAGAATATATGAAACGTGTATTGAAACTATGAGAAGTGTGATTGCATTAGTGTGAATTAATGTTTTAGATAATGGCTTAGACGAGAAGTGATGCATGAGTTTACTTCATAATGACGTTCAAGGCATTCTTTCGAAATAGGGAACATCATATCGTAATATTCGTCCATGATACCCTTTTCAATGGCAAGGTTTCATATGCCAATAGTATTTTCATATCAGGTGATCCTGTATAGTGCTGTGTGTACATAGTTAAAGGAACTGCATACTACTGAAATGTTCTATACGGATTAAATACAAATGTGTGTGCAACATAGACGAGGTGCATTCTATTCTTTAACAGTTTTCTAAATAATTATTCCATTCCCCCTGTCTGCTTTCAACAAAAACACTAGCCCCTCGGGAAAGAGAGAAGGGTGCTCATTGGTGCACACATATTGAAGTGAGAATTCCCACGCGAACTCATAAGCATGAAACTTGTACCCACAACTGTTTTTCGAAAAAGGAGACCGTTTGGCTTTAAAAAAGTGGGATTGTGTAAAATTAGCCGAGGATCAACTCCCTGGTTTTTGGGCTTCCATCTGAGGGCAGACTTGACAAAATTACGGTTGAAAAATGGGTCCAATTTGCCGGAAGTGGTGGGATGCCATTTGTAAAATGGCTGAATGCAGGCCTGGGAAGTATCACATTTCGGGAGGTGAGTTTGTTTTGGTGTGAATATTTAAAAATGTAACTGGCTAACCCACCAAAATTGAAAAGAAACGGAAAGATGAAGGACAAGACAATAATTGTTTTGTTTGTTTGAGAAACAGTCATGTCGGCTTGCATGTTATTTGGCCCTGAACTTTGTTGATCATCATAACAGAACCGAGCCCAATCTAATAATACATTTTTGGGGTAATTAGCGCCTCTGTGTTCTTATCTGGGATAGAGTAGGTATAGTGTTTATCTCAACTTGAAGGTTCAACAGCGTGCTAGCTCTGCGTCATATACTTCGTACACAACTGACGACTGGGATTTGATGTATCATTGTCACGTTAGGTTTACAATTTCCTTAAAACAAATTGATAAAACAAAATTGATGAAAAACATTATAAAAAAAATTACACGAATAGTTCATTTCAGTTGCTGTCGTAGACTCTCTTGTATTTTGCACTGAATCACACACTCAATGCATTTATGGACAACTTCCTATAATGTGATTTATTGAGGTACTGATATGCCAATGAACATTAAAAGTGTGAAATACAAATACTGTACAAAAAAATATATACAAAAGTTGTACACGTATGGGTCTAGTATACCCAATCTAGGTAAAGCATGATACATCAAGCAATCAGTTCAGACCCCGCATGATTAAACTTGTGACAAACTTGCACTGCCGCTGGAACAAACTTTTCCAGCGGGTGCTGGAATAAAGGACGCACAAAATTAATGCGAAAGCGGCAAGGATTTATCGGTCTACTGAGTTTTTATGAGGAAAAACTTGCAGAGGGTAAACACGAATATAGCTTTTTTATTAAAACGAAACTACACTGGAATTGGCTTAAAGCATGACTAGTTTCAACAAAAGCCCGTCCCGCTCCTAGTAGGTTGGGGATGTGTCACGGTTTCAATTTAACGTTGAGAGCTTACTTTGATTCGCCCTCTCAATATTAGGGTCGATTTCTGTTGCCAATTTAGAGCACTCTTTGATTCACCCTCTCAATAATAAGGTGCGGATTTCTGCGGACAACTTACCGAGGTTAAATTCACCTAGTGGCGACCGTCATGCGGGCAGGGATTTAAAAATTGTTACTTTTGTTAGTCGTGGCATATGTCGTATAGCTGGTGGAGAGACAAGAACAAGCTTGGGGAGACATTATATCACATGATAATTATGTTCAGTCGTTTTGTAAAATCTGGAACATGACTTTGTGTGTTATTAAGGGAATAAATGTGTGTTCGGGAGGTATTATAACACTCTGTTTAAGACGGGCGAGAGTCTGGATGGGTGATTGTCTTTTGGGTGGAATTCATTATTTGGCCTGGGATTCAAATGTCCTGGCTTATACATGGCCTGTGCAGTATAGTACGCATGGAATTAATTGCCACGACATTGTGCTTGTCGTTTCCTATATTTCTGTGATTTTGCACGTTTTGTACGATATTTTGTGTCCATTTCAGCAAGAGCACTAGCTGCCGATGAGCCACCGGTTATGGGACTCCCAGCTTTTTGGCATTTCTGGATTGAGTTGGCGTGCCTGCTGCAGCGTTCTTGGAAAAGGTGAGTGATCCTTTAGGGTTGGTCATCCCAGGCCCAAAGGCATGATCCACAGATTCAGTCTTCTGTGTACTCAAGCCAGACTTTGTTTTTTCTACTAGTGCCTCTTGTCCAATTCGCTTTTCCAAAAGTTTCTTTAGAAGGAGTTCATCCTCGGTGCATAAATTTAGTTTGCCGAATGATGGCAGCGCATAGTGATCTATTCAAATGGGAAGGATCGAGTTGTTGTACTGTTTTAGAACCAGTTCTTGTATTCATTTGTGTGTTCAAAGTTGTTCAGTTGGTGGCCTCCTAGCATGCCAATGTCCTTCAGGTCCTTGGTTTCAGGTCTTATCCCAAACACAAAGCGTGACTCCAACCACCACCAGTGCCATCCCGAAGTAGGTTTCTGCGAAGAAAAATGTTAAAATATTCATCTACTCATCTGTGTGGTAAATTCCAATTGAAGAAGTCTCCTAGTCTGACTCTTTAACCCTAACCTTCCTAAATCCTCCAAAATCCTCTTTGCAAAATGGAGGATTTTGCAGGATTGAGGCTATATGGCAAAAGCGTGTTGCTGATTTTGGAGGATTCACTGTGTCAAGGTCTTAGGCCGGACCTTGTGTTGTTTTTGCTCAGCCATGCATAAATATAGGCCTGGATTATGCTTGAAATCCTCTGCACTGCTCCAGGATATCAATGGCCAAGCCCTCAACATATTGACAGTCATTGCCAGAGGATTTTGCAGGATTGAGGCAGTGGTCACCCCTCCAGTACCACATTCAAGAAAAAAACGGAGGATTTTGTAGGATTGACGCTGTATGCTTTTTTTTACATGGAGGCAGTTGGAGGATTTTGCAGGATTGAGGTTACATCCTAGCAAAAATGCCTAGGGAGTTAGGGTTTTAAAAGTCCTCATCACTCATCTAAGCAAATTGTGTACAAGCCCTGCTGGAGTATATGTGCCGAGCCACAAGTTACACCCACCCAACAAGTGGTATTACCACTGCGGTATCATTGTTTGTCCCCTTTAACTTGTGACCCGACTTGCGACTTGATTTGTGATGAACTTGTGCTACGACTTTTGATGGAATTTGCTTAATAACAAAGTGAGAGTACAATCTGTGGACATTCTGGTTCATTTTTCTAGAGCTCATGGTGTGATTATACATGGTGCCAAGATTAAGTATGTGCAATGGTATGTATGGTGTAAAATGGACATGTCGGCTCCAATTGTCTGAAGTTGGTAAACTAGAAAAATGCTCTACAGTGTAGACACATACTATACATGTATTGCCAGCATACCTAGAATCATGCCAGGCACGGATCCAAGGGGGGGGGGGAGGGGTGGGGGTGTCTGTCTACATTTCAGCACTGATTTGCTGATTAAAAAAATCTGAAGGGCCTGACCCCCTGCAAATATACCTGGATCTGCCCCTGCACGCCTATTTTACCTTTTCCACCGATATCTTCACCCAGCACCCTTCCCATCAGTGTAGTGAATATGAATGTGAGGGCGTTGGTGATGGGTACCGCCAGTGACAGCTCTGAAATTAAAAAAAAATATAATAAATAGGTAAATAACGAAGTATACATGTACCTGATTTGATAGAAACAGATGTTTGGGCTTTTTCCTCAGAAGGTTTGTACACGAAAACCTACTGAGGACTTTAACTCAGGTCCTCACAGGTCACCCTTTGTTCCAAGTCCTCAGACTTAAAGGAAAATTAGGTACAGAAAAAAAGAAGACGCTGTAGGGTTATTTTGCTTCACTCTCGTTGAGAGTGGGATCAACACACAATAACATAATTACAGTGAAATCTCGATAAGTCAAACTTCAAGGGAACAGGTTCAAATTTGACTTCAGCAGAGTTTTGAGTTAAGCAGGATTGTACATTGTTAGAATACTGAAGGGAATGGATTCTTTGTTTGACTTAACAGTTGTTTTGAGTTATCAGAGTTTGACTTATTGAGATTTCACTGTATAGACAGTGCCATTGTATGTGAACACATACTTGATATCCAGGACAATCAATGTTCAAGGATTAAAAAATTTAAGTGATCTTGACCCACCTGCTGAAGCTAGTGTCAGGTAGAAAAGAACCGATCCACTCTGATTCACAAGAAATGGCAGGATGTACTGAAAGAAAAAAATGGTATAGGTCTAACCAAGACTGCTAAAAAAATAAAATTCAGTTTTGTATTTTAGTGTAGTTAGTGTTAGGACACATACTGTAAATTGTTTGATTATTTGGTTTGCACTGTATGTGTATGCTTGCCAAAGACAGTTAAACCGAGTAAAAAAAGTAGTTTCTTGTCCTGGCTTTTTGAAAAAAATGGAGGCCGGCACTTTTTTCCTTCCCAAGATGGCGGATGGTTTCATCCATTTTCTCGACTCTTTTGCTGACACAAAATTGCGTCCAAAGGAGCTATAAACCTTCTTTCTGCGTAGCTTACAATTCCGTTGGAAACATATTGACAATTAGGCCTATGTTTGTAAATGTATGAATTAAAAAAATAAATATCTAAATATCATCAGACCCCCTAAAACGACTTGGTCCTATTTCGACGCACTCGCATTCAATATGTGTTGGACAACGCGCGCGCATTGCAAGCATTACCTGCGTCGATTATGGTGATTCGAGGATAAATAAAAGGGGACGGGCAGGAGAAAAGAAACTGGTGGGGACGAGAAGCTTGTTTATTTTTTTACTTGGCCTTATCTTTGCACAATATCAAAACATGCTTTGGACAGGTTTTTTTGATGACAAATGATATTTTCAAATTTCATGTATATTGTTGGGTAATGCAAACATTGGGAAATGTATTACCCAATTCATCGTTTTAGGAGATTCTAGTGAAGTCTGACAATGTGGTCGTTCTTGTAGAGAGACTAGTCAACCTTAAATGGAAGACCCTGACGCAGTTTTAAGTTGCACACTTTACCTTCCAATTGAACACCAAGAATTTCAGCTCGGCCCCGAACTGTGCAATCCTGTTGCCCCTGTGCACTCGTTGGATGCCCTCCCCTCCTTTCTTCATCAGTGGATTTGTTGCACCCCAGAGGAGTGCCACGGCGATTAGCGACACAGCTTCCCACATTATGTTCATGAAAAATCAACCAAAAAGAAACTTTTTATTTGCGTGCCTAAATAAAGCGAGAAAATGTGAACACGCCGGGGCCGGAACAAACATGACAAAATACTGCACATGCTGCACTAACGACGTACAGACTCATGAGGGCGGTATGAATGAAGACCGAGAAACGTGTCTGCATGCGCATACCTCTAATTCATGATTGGCATAAACAATTTATCAAAATGGCAATTTAATCCGTCCAGTATTTTTCAACAAAATGTGTTACATGGCTAGAATTGTATGAGGTATCTTCATCTATTTTTAAGTAAATGTTGCTGGCCTTGACCTCTCCTCTTGAAAACAGGCTAGGACTCTAATATTCAGATCAAAGATCGTATAGCGCCGAAGGCGCAAGATGGGGAACTCCATAGAAATTGCGAAGTCGTCATGGACACCATTCGAGCAAGCAAACCATTTTGAAAATCATTGTTTGCACAATGGTTTGCTTCGAGTAAGCAAACCATTGTGCAAACAATGGTTTGCACAATGGTTTGCTTGCTCGAATGGCGTCCATGGTGATTTCGCAATTTCTATGGAGTTCCCCATCTTGCGCCTTCGGCGCTATAAGATCTTTGATTCAGATCCTTCCCTCAGTGCACTAGATCAATAAAGCCCCCGGGCCGCCGCCGCTGACGATATCTTACTCTAAAAATGAATATCCAAAATAATAACCACATTATGGCTTCTGTAAATCCAAATCTTAAATCCGAATCTTTCTGTAGGCGTAGGTGGCTCAAAATCACGCGCAAATCTTGCTGTCGTCTCATGATCACACTCCAATTATTTTAGTTGGGACAAACTGCTACCGAGTCACACTCATCGATCAGAGGCTGAACTTTCAATCTTAGAGTCGTGCATCCGACTACGTACACGTACGTACGCATACGTACGTAAGTGCGCGCATACGTACGAAGCGCCAACTTGGGTGACCGCTTTAGCCGATTTTCGGCTAACTTTGACAGAATTTTTGTTAAAAAACGAGTTTGACAGAAAATTTGACAGAATGGATTTTTTTGGCAGATTTCTGGCAGAATTTTGCAAAATGGTTATTTGACAGAAAAACAGCAAATTTGAACAAAAAAGGTGTATATTTGTTTAAAAAAGCTTCAATCCTTTCAAACAAACCCTTGCATAATGGGACAGGTTGGCTGGTCTAGGTGCTGAGGTTCACTGGGAAAGGTACTTGGTCATGCTGCCGGATCCGCGTTTTGCCCAAAATTTACCAATAATTTCACAACATATTTATGTGACTGGAATGTTTATTATGTAATTTGAACCTTAATTAAGGTAATACTACCAATCTGCATGTGATTTTAAGTGTATTTCGAGCAATTCTGGGGAATTTGACAGATTTTTGATAAATCTGACAGACTTTTGAGGTGCATCTAGCAGAATTTGGCTCTGACCTTACGGTCACCCTGGCGCCAACACATTTCAAGATGGCAGCCTCCATGTTACGGCGCTCAGCTTTGTTCGTGAGAAGTTCCCAAAATTTGCTGGCTAACTGCTCCGTAGTGCATGCCAGGTATAGCTCAGGCTTGCTCGTAAACAGTGGCAAGTACCCTTTTTTGCAGGAACTGGGAATCGAAGAGGAAAATCATGGAGCATTCACAGGAAAATGGGGAGGTAAAGGGGAGGTAAGTTAGCACCGTGTGCATGGTGTGTGGACCCTATACGCGTGTGTGTACGTGCCTGCACGCGGGCATACCGTCTACACGAAGCCACCCGACTGACACGATCTGCAGTTACGTATGTACGTCATGCATGACGTACATACGTGACTGCAGATCGTGCATCACGGCCCGATGTGACTGCAAGTCGTGTCTGGAACGGGTTGGTCCAAAGGGCTAGTTACGGACTCAACTGACGAATAAATATTTATTGAATAAATATTTAGGCAATTACTAAGTTAATAATACTAAACTAGGCCTATTCCTCCATGGGCCTACCTAGCTGGTAACTTGCTCATCAGAATGTGAATCCCTGATGAGCATGTTGTCACTCGTCAGTTAATTGGCATAGCCATAGGCCTATACCCAGGCATTACCCAAGTTTTGCATAAACGTTATGACAAGCTTCTTATTTTTCTTAAGCCTCCTTAGGCCTTGGGAAGTGATTTTTTTAAAAAAATGTTGGAAAGGCATTATGAGGCCTTTTTATACTCAGTTTTCATTAGACCTATTTCATGCCTTCAATTTAGGTTTCAGCATCAGACATGTCATCAGATGACATGTCTTCCATTTCCAGTTTATCTACAACGATGAAATTGTCATATTAATAGGCTACCTGGATTATTTTAAGCATAAAGATGTATGTATATTTTCAACTGTCATGACTGTTTACTTGTCGAGGTTGTTGTGTGATAAGGTACATTTTTCTGAAATACTTTTTAATTTTTGTTTTCATGGAAAAATATTGTGGCATTTTCCATACAACTACAAGTCTTTGATTTCTTACACTATTTCATATGAAATGTTATTATCTGAGAAGCAATGCAACTTGATAATAGTGGTGTCATCAGGATTCAGGATATCACATTCTTTCCAATACATCTAGAGAATACGCCTACAAAAATGGGATAGCTTACCCCCAGAAAACTTTTAAACTATTTTGTTTATAGATGGAAACATGGTAAAATTTGGGGACATTTTTCCCATAGGTCTCTTAGAGAATTTCTTACAGTGACAGTGTTTCCCATATGAAAGGCTATAATCTGAGAATCAATGTAACTTGACAATCTCACTGTTTATGTTTGTCTATTGGTGTCATCAGGATACCACATTCTTTCCAATAGAATACGCCTACAAAAATGGGATAGCTAACCCCCCCCCCCAAAAAAAAAAGGGACAAAATGACAGTGCGCATAAGGAGACATAAATTGTGTCAGTCCTTTGTACAAATTGACATGTGACAGTTCGAGACTGATGAAATAAACTTTTAATTTAGCCATTGTGCCATCCAAAACCGCCCTGCCTGTTACTCCTGAAACTGCCCCATCTGAGGTTTTCATGATTTATGGAGTGAGCAAATACGTGAAATGTAACACAATTTATACAAGGGCTGAAGACTTAAACAGTGTGTAACACATGTTGACAGTGACAAGTCTGCCCCAGTGTTTGCACAGTGCAGTTAACACATTTTATTATCTCCTTCCTCAGGTTATCACATCTTACAGCCCCATAAATGGAGAGCCTATTGCAACTGTCAGACAGGTAACTAATGTGGAAAGTTAACATGACATATTGATATATAGAACAAATGTAGGGATGCTGTTTGGCACTGTGTAGAGCATGGAAAAACAAATGGTAAATGTGGAACAGTGCTCACTGGATTAGTAGTTGTACCCGAGCTTTGGGGCATCCGTTCTTCTTCATGGGGTGGTGTTCTTGCATGTTTTGAACGCGGAGAACTCCATGTTCAAACCACCAGGGCGAGAGCGTCCCCAGATAGAATATGAGACCCTGTTCTCAACACACATCCCCATACTTGTGATGACATGCAGGTGTGCGTTGTAACTACGACAACAACTGATGCACAATGCAAAGAACGAGAGCCTTGGGTCTTCATTTCCCCTCATATTAGAGCTGTTGTTGGCCTCAGTCCAAATTAGTTACCATTTATTTACTGCATGGTGTTGGCAGATTAAGAAACGCTTTTAGGTTTTGGATAAATGCAATCCCTCGATTTCCAAAGCATCGTTGTACCAGCTTAAAGGTTTACATGTATGCGCGGGTTTGTCAGTGAAATAGACAATGTACCTTTTAGTACCTATTAAGTGCTGCACCTTATTGCCTCCCCCCTTCCTTGCAGCTGTCCTACCTAGGCTTGTACATTTTTCAGTATTTTTACTTTCATTTAGGCTACCCTGGAGGAATACGATGAAGGCGTTAAGAATGCCCAGGAGGCCTGGCAGGTGTGGGCAGATGTGAGTAAATTGTTTTGACTTTATTCAATGTGTGATTTGTGTTTTGAATAGATTGGTGTCCAGTTGGCAGTTCTTGAGTGTATGTGTTTATGGTATACACCCAAGACACAGAAACACGATAGGCTGAGAACTTTACAGATAAGTATGAAGCCAATCACAAGCCTGTCAATACTCATTCACAAGTAAATCAAAAGTCAGGTCACCAGTTACAGGCCCTGAAAAGTGTCAAAAGGAATAGCTTTGTCACAGTTTGTTGGAATAGCTTGACACTTGAGGACTTGACTGCAACTCTTTAACTTAATGGGCTCCCTGCGCCAACGAAAGAGGGCACCCTTTTACCTAGCAACGACGTCCCATGGGTGGGACATTTCGCTGGTTGACGCGCACCGTTCCTTGTGTGTGACACACGTACACCAGGGGATTTGTACTATGTACACGCAGTGGCCGCGCTTCGTGGCAAATGAATTGCAGTCAGGCAAGATGGCGTCGGTCGGTCACCCCCAACTGTACTCTCTTTGCTGGTGAGGGGGTACTTGTGAACGGAGTGGATAAGGGAATAAATTTGTGCTTGGCCAGTTTTAACCAAGTACGTTTGCAACCATGGCCCAAGCCAAAGGCAAGGGCCATTGTCCACGACCAGGCTCCTAAACGTTTTTACACATATTTGTTTAATACTGACCAAGCACATTATTTTATTCCCATTCATAAAGTCCCATTTATACATATACCTTTCGTTCCAAAAATATCTATGGTGTAGTGCTAAAAATCTCATTTTATGGAGATTCGCACGTGCGGCGCATAGTGCACAATGGGGCGCAGAACGCAGCCGTGCAGGAGAAAGTGCTTAAAACTAGCCGGTGTTTAAAATAACCCACGTGACGGGCTCTCGACCAATTGGAAATCGGTAAACTATCTTAGATTTTTGAATAGCTGTTCAGAATTTTCCAACTTGAATGTTAACTGACTGATGATTCAATAAGGCTTCAGAGATTTCTTGTAAATGATTGGACTGCAAATGACAGAGCTTTTTATCTTGTATTTTTAATCAGAAAAAAAAAAGTTGCTCTGTTTCTTTAAAAGGTGCCAGCGCCCCAGCGTGGTGAAATTGTGCGTCAGATTGGGGATGCTTTGCGAGTGAAGAAAAATGCCATTGGACAATTGGTAAGTGAAAATTCAAAAGGACCTTGGTTAGATGTATGCATTTTTCTTTGCAGGTCTTACGTGTACCTACATGGTCCAGAAAAAGAAAAACATAAAAGTTGTTTGTACTGAAAGCTACATATATAGATGGCATATTTGTAATTATAAAACCTATAAGAGATTTTGCTGTGCTTACTGCTGATGGCCTCCATGAAACAGACGGAGGCTCTGTCAGCAGAAAATTGTGTGCTTAGTAGCACCTTAAAGGGAAGATACAACATTTGCAAACATAAAAAAACGAAATGATCAAATTATTACAGAATACCTTACTGAATTGTTAGGGAATGACAGTCTAAAGCATCCTGTACAATCGTGGCTCCTGGTGTGCTGACATTTTCAAGAAAAACTGTATTTTTCCTATGCTGGTTGGCTGACCAGCGTTGGAAAAAACTGGTTTTTTTCAAAAACTGTTCCTAATTTTTCATATTGCATCTTCTTTGCAATGGATTACACACCTGTGAAGAGGTATAAGCCTGCTAGACTGATTCTTTGACCTTGCAATTCCCCAAAGTCTATAGATTGCTCCGTTTCATCTTAAGTGGGGTCAGGGAACCAGACTACAAGAACATGATGGGTTTTCTTGGTTTTTCCAGCATCTACAGGCCCAAAATATGAAACAAGTCAGTTAAACAATATTTGCTATAACATACTAATCCTCCAAATCCATTGATTTCTGAAAATTGCAGCAAAAGCAAATGTTGTACATTCCCTTTAAGTGGGGGAGCAAGGCTAGCCGTTGCTAAGCCTATACAAAGTGAAATAATGAAATGCATTCCAAACTGTAAATAAGACAAATGCTTAACATTCGAACAAGTGGCTATTAACAATGAAAGAAGAGACCTTAATTTGTTACTATAACGTTTCAATCAGTATGCTGTGACCCTCATGAGTACATATCAATTCTGACCTAAAATTTGAGTTAATGCCTCCGGTTTTATGAGAATAACACATCCTTTGGAGTTAATAGTCATGATCACTCCACATGTGGCTGCGTACATCTCCCAAACCCTCAAACTAAAAATCCACCTTTTTGAGCTGTATGTACGTCTTTCATATCACAGTTGTCACTGGAGGTGGGGAAGATTGTAGCGGAAGGAGGGGGCGAGATTCAAGAGTTCATTGATGTTTGCGACTTTGCGGTCGGGCTGTCCAGGATGTTTGGAGGACGAGTCCTGCCCTCAGAACGTAAGTATCGACCATTTGAAAATGCAGCAGTTAGTTTGGGAATAAATCTGGTGAAGGAAAGGACCGTTGTAGATTAGCCAATAATCCAACCCACCTTTGGTTATCATCAAGTGCTTCTGACTGAGTTTGAGGTTTTGTGGTCACCTGAACAAAAGCTGTGATCGGATTGGTGGATGCGCACTAGCTGTTTGATTAAAAGGGGTGGGTGGTGCTATTCATTGTGGCATTTCATAACGACCCAACAGACACACGGTTCAGCATACAGGTTCACAATATTGCCTGCAAAAAATAAAAAGAACTAGAAAGCACTCAGAGAGCGCAAACCTCCGCCAAGGCTTAACAATTCCCCGCCATTTTGTCAGTACATCCAAAAGAAATACTTGCATAAATGGTGAAGAATCCTTAAACAAAATCCTGGATCCAGACCCAGATCCGGATCACTTCCAAAATCTAATCGATTTGTACTTGTACCAAGGACCACCCCTGAAACATTTTATGCGAATCCGTCCATAACTTTTTGAGTTATCTTGTTAACAGACAAACCAACCAACCAACCAAACAACAAACTAACCAAATCCGAGGAAAACATAACCTCCTTGGCGGAGGTAATAATGAGGGGAGAGGGTAACTCCCCACAATACACAAGCCCTCTAGCAATGCCCTTGCAAACTGCTACTTACGGAATACTTCTGGAACTTTGGGCTCAGAGATTAGACTTGGTCTATTTGTTCCCCCCTTGACTGACGTGTACTGGTAATGACTAACGTTACATGAATTTTTTATTGGGGCAATTCCACGGTTACTCATGTTATATTTTTGATGTACTTTTGAGTTTCCTTGGGCTGTAATTACCTTACTGAAAAGGTTTAATAACTGTTATCCCCATGGTAGATAGAATAGACCTAGACCTACCTAAGCACCAAAGATGACATCCAGAAAAATGTGTTATGTATGATAAACAAGATGCACAAAATCGGTTACTCACGTTACGAAAATGTAACGTGAGTAACCGTAGAATTGCCATTTGGTATATCCTTGCTGTTATGTGTGACCACTGTTCTCCCTTGGCTTAGAGTCGAGAGGAGACTGAAAAAGATAGAAAAGAAAGAGGGTAGTCAGGGATTTCATGAGTGCTGAAGAAACATTATACTTCCCTGACTGTTCTCAAGAGAGTTATAATCAAGTTGTCTCGAGTCGTTACATGTCAGTCACAAGTCAGTTACAAATATCAAGTCAATTGAGAGTGAAATGTGAATTTAGGCATTTCTTTGTCATTTTCCATCCCTTGTTTCTCGTGACTTGTGATTTGACTTGTGATTGAGTGGATAACAACTCCGGTTCTCTGACATCAGCTTTTCTTTGACCCGTAGAATTTGTTGTGGGGTGGAGTTGTAGTTTAATATACAGCATGTGCCAAAATACCCCCAACATTTTTTTTGCGAGGCTCTACCGTCGCCGCAGAATTACATACCACCATTGTTGTTATATCATATTCAAGCTTGGAATCTGAACTTTATCCCTGCTAAGTATTGGTTTGATTTTCGAAAGGGATTTGAAATGATTCGTGTTCAAATATAGGCACGTCAAAAACAAGCTCAACCGATTTCAAGGAAAATCAATCATGCACATTTTTTATAATGTGGAAATGCTTCATCATGTTCATGATGTGACGATCTTGTTGCATTTTACTTTCTGTGTTTCCTATTCTTTTCAATCCACGTAAACTACATCTTAAATGAATTCACAATATTGTTCTTTGTTTCAAATTCAGTTTTGAAATTCACGTGCAAGTATGTATCTATTCGAAAAGCGCGCTCAAAGTGTGACTCCAGTTTTCATCATGATGTACCGCATCATCAATTTTCCTTGAAATCAGTTGAGTTTGTTTTGGACATGCCTCAATTTGAACACGAATCATTTTAAAAGTCTTTTAAATATCAAACCAATACTTGCCAGGGATAAAGTTTAGATTCCAAGCTTTAAAATGGTATAAAAATAATGGCGGTACGTGTTTCTGCGCGGACGCTAGAGCCTCGCAAAAAAAATTGCAGGTATTTTGGGACGCGCTGTCCTGGGGAGTGTACTCGGTGTAGTGTCATGGTTTATGTTGTTTTTTGGTATCTAGGACCAGGCCACGCTCTTATTGAGCAGTGGAATCCTCGTGGGCACACCGGCATCATCACGGCCTTCAACTTCCCCACCGCTGTGTTTGGCTGGAATGCTGGCATCACCATGGTCTGTGGAAACACTTGCCTCTGGTAAAATCCAGTTTGCTGTCTTTCTCTAAAGAAATCAACAAAATTTAGCTGGCCTGACGTTTCGGTCTTAACAAGACGCGCTTCAGAGGCAAATGACAGTGGTACAAGAAACAAACATGTAGGGGGTACAAGAGCACGCAAGGTTGGCAGGAGAAACACAAAAGAGGGATAAGATAGGGGACAAAGGGGATGGATGGGGTACAAAGGAACAAGGGGAGGGTTCCTTTTTCTAAGGAAAGCGGAATTTTGCCTTCTGATGACTTAATGCACTGATGAAAAAGCCATCAGGTTGTAGGGTTGTAGTCAAGCTCTAAGTCTCTGCAAGACGTCACATTAACCCTAACCGCCGACGCCCTTTTTACTAGAATCCACCCTTAATCCTTCAAAATACTCCAACTGCCAAAATGATGTCCAGTGTAATGCAGTCCTTGATTATGCATGGATGAACATAAACAATGCAGGGTACAGCTTACGACCTTCACACATTGCATCCCTGAAAATCAACCAGAATTGTTTTATCATACAGCCTCAATCCTCCAAAACCACTGGGTTGATTTCAGAGCATTGAGGGGGTTAGGGCTATTACATTTTACATCTGTTTGCCACTAGTTGCTCACAAGCCTTACAGAATTTCATTTAGAAATTGCTCTGGGAGGAAACTGATTATCTTTTTATACTAAACTCATTTACTCATGTTGTCCACTTGTCAGGAAACCAGCCCCCACAACTCCTCTGTGTGGCATTGCAGTTACAAAGTAAGCATTGAGAATAAAATGTACAATTCTATATCAAACATAGTTGCATAAAACATAGTTGCAGAAAGACTTGGAATCTAGTCGGAGTCTTTGTCCTTTTCCAACCTTTCATATTCCAAACTGTCATACTCAAACTCATTGAAAGTGTTCAATCAAAATAAAAGTTTTCCCGGCCAATTTCCTGCAATATTAATTCACTTCTGAAAATCGGTCATTCGTTTTCGTCTGAATTTGAATACACGTCTTTAATCCCATTTCAATTCAACGAAAGGTCAATCGTTTTCATTGTCCATGCATGCGGTTTTGAGAAACAGACGGCCAATTACGTTACCTGTGCATTCATTTACGCAAGCACACCTTTTCTAAATTGATTTCAGACTGATGGTTAATAAAAAAGAAACTCCTAATTGTATCTGGTGCCAGTGGCATTAAACTAAAAGTGAAATAGAATGGTAAATGTTTGAAATCGTTATCTAAAAGTGAAAAAGAAGTCCTGTGTTTACATAATCTGAATGAAAATTCATGGAAGGTACTGCTCAATCACTTAATTGATTGAACAGAAATAGAATCGAATGCTCTAGTAGCAAAAATGAAATGCGTGTAGAGAGCGATTCTCAAATTCAGACGAAAATGAATGACCGATTTTCAGATGTGAATGAACATTTTAGGAAATTAGCCAGGAAAACCTATACTAGCGATACAATAGGCATAATTCTTAAAATTTGGTGTAATGAGAAACTCAATTCCTTTCCATTTTAAAGGCAAAGATCCCGAGACTTATGTTCATATTGAATCTGTTTTGTCAAGGTAAAGTGTGAGTAGATGTATGTCCAAAGCATTGAGTCATGTCAGTTAAGACCATGCCCAACTCTCTTGAGTACTGATTATTGACGGGATGAAAGCAACGCCTAATGACGTTAAATCCGAATATCAGCTCGCCATCTCCAGTCAGCAGCATTTTGAGCCAATATATTGGCTGTATTCAAACACAATTTTTAAAGAACACACCCTCTACATCATCTGTCTTGTTTATTCGAGCAGAGAGTTAAGTGCAAGAGGACATCCTCTACTCCTGTACCTACCCTCTGTAAATATCATTTTATTTTGCTTCATTTGAATCGCAGAACTATTCAGTCTGTTCTGGCTGCCAACAAGATGCCACCAGCTGTCATGACTCTGATGTGTGGCGGATCTGATCTTGGGTGAGGCTAACTTCTCAGTGTTGGCTTGAACAATTCTTGCATTCTGTTTTATGGTGGGTTTTTCCGCAAGTTGTAGCTGTTGTGATTGTGTCAAGGAGATTAGAGAAAGTTGTACTTCTAATTTTGAATTGCATGGCACAAGTATCGGTTTTCTTGTTGATAATCGAGGAGTAGTAGCTAGTATTGCGAGGTACCCTCGGTTCCCCGGTTCTACCGAGTTCTAATACGAGAACCGGAACCGAGAGTCCCATTTTTCAAGAACCAGGTACCCGCTATCCTTGGTTTCGGCTTCAAAAGAATTGGTTCTAGATTAAATTACCCATTCTCTGTGCACAAACCCCAGAGCCAAGAATCGGCTACATACATGTAGGAATTCAACACCGGGACATTCAATCTGGCTAGTCAAAACAACGGCGAGGAAAAAAACACATACTCCAAATACGTCATGGAGAATCAGAGACAAACCGCCCTACGATGTTTGCGGTCGGGCCACGAGACGTGCATGCATGCAGAGCATTGAACCCAATAATGGGTGTAGCACTAAATTAGGTTTATGAAATTTCGAACTCCTTGGTAGTATTGCGTATGCTCGAAGTAGAAAAAGGAACAATAACTAAAAAGGAGTCCGTTGTTCACATGAGTCCATTTTTATATCACACCAGTTCCTGGCAAAACCAGCCGCACGTTTTTGCCATATAGCTTCAATCCTGCAAAATCCTCTGTTTTGCAAAGAGGATTTTGGAGGATTTGGGAAGTTTAGGGTTAACTTTGCAAGGAGTATCCAACCCATGTTAAGTACATGCACATTATAAAAGCAGCTTGGATTTTTTGCTTTCTACTTCTTTCAAAACACTCCAAAACTTTTTCTGTGGATGGATTATGGAGTTTGTTGGAGTGGTAGCATATCTTTTGAGGCATTTTTGCTAGGAACTGTATCTCAAAAAAAAAAACTAACAAAAAAACATTCCTCTGCCAATGGCACATTTCTTTGTTCCCTTAATGTGCACGGAGCATCAAGGCCTTGCGTATTTAATTGTGACTGGGCTGTACTTCGTGCAAAATTGATCCAAAATGTGCTCGGATTGTAACGGAAGTCTATATCTTTTTGTGTGTGTATTACTCTTTTACACAGAGACGCCATTGCTCGTGATGAGAGGGTACCAATTGTGTCATTCACTGGCAGCACACAGGTAAATTTCTAATCAATTTCTTTCAGATATCCATCCAAAGCACATTTGGCTCTCTTCAAATTTGTCCCTTTTTTTGGGGCCATTAGAAAGGATACATGTACGGGAGATGTACAATCAGTGGCGTAGCCAGGAATTTTTCAGTGTGGGGGGGGGGGGGGGGCACTGGGGGGGCTGGAACATTTCATGGGGGGCGTCATGTAGATCAATGATAATTTTTTTAGAAACTCAAAATCTCAGTGGGGGGGGGGGGGGGGCCACTGGGGGGGCGACAAGGTTTCATGGGGGGGGGGCTGTCGCCCCCCCCACGCCCCCCTGTGGCTACGCCACTGTGTACAATGCATGCATGTGGCAGAAAACGTTGGCGATTGCATCACCATTTTGTGGGATAATTTTACCAGGCCTGCATATTTACATCTCAACATTTTGATGCTACCGTAGATGCACATCGCTGATAGTGTACCTGATGAAATAAGTATGCAAAATAATGATTTCACAGCAGAAGTTTTTTGCAAGCTGTGTAATGGAGTCCCCTACGTGGCGCACTTCAACATTTCCCTCAATTTTCCTCGAGCAGTGTTGCCAAATCTCTTTGTTGAAAAACTTCAAATTCATTGAGTGAAATACTGGTACTATTACCATAATAATGCTTGCTTGCTGTTGAACCTTTGTGAACAATTTCAGTGTCGTTGAATTTAGTCAGAAATTCAAACATGGTGGCATCTGGAAATAGGGCACAAATTTGGCCGAGTGTTCCCTAGCATGGCGCACTTGAGCAAATCTCAGAAGATCCCACATTAAAATTGATAAATTTCTTTAAAGTTGATAAACTCTGGTAAATCACGATAATCTCAATTCACATGCCCAACTACAAGTTTGTCAGAAAATTATTTTCTTATTCTTATAAACGGGTTCATTGTGCACTTCAAAATAAAAATCGGAAAATCACGCCAAAATAGAATTTCTCTGGAACTTTGTAGCGGGTACGTAAACTCAAGATTTATGAACGAGAATGTTAAGAGCTTGATGAAATTTCACTTATTGTGAAATTGGAGGTAAAAATTTTGCTCTAGAGATGAAAAATCAAAGTGCACCACATTAGGGGCCGCGCCACTCCTTGTTAGGGTACATTAAGAATTTATGTCTTCCGTATTCCTATAATTACTAATGGTTCATAATAGCACTATGCTTTACACTTACATAAATTGTATGATGATGATGGCATAGAGTTTCTCGAGTTTGTGTGCTCACTTGGTTTAAAGGGAATATACAACATTTGCTTTTGCTGTAATTTTCAGAAATGGATGGATTTGGGGGTTAGCATTTCATAGCAAATATTGTTACACTGACTTGTTTGAAGTATTGTGTTGGTAGATGTTGGAAAAACCAAGAAAAACAATCATGTTCTCAAGTCTGGTTCCCTGACCCCACGTAATATGAAACAGAGCAATTAATAGACTTCTGAGAATGGTAAGGTCATGGAGCCAGTCTATAGCTCGCTTGTATCTGTTCATAGGTGTGTAATCCATTGCAAACAAAATGTGGACTAACTAAATATGGTAAATTAAGGGCAGTATTTGAAAAAAGCCGGCCACTTTTTTCCCAATCGCTTTTCTGAAAAATGACAGCACACCAGGTGCCATGATTTCACAGGATGCTTTAGACTGTCATTCACTAACAGTCCAGCCTTTATTTCATAATAAGTCAATAGTTTTGTTTTTTGATGTATGTAAATGTTGTATATTCTTCCCTTTAAACCAAGACTGCTTGTATAAATTTGGTATTGTAAATGGCAGGTTGGGCAGAAAGTTGGGACAATCGTACAGGAGAGATTCGGTCGCTGTATCCTAGAGCTTGGTGGTAACAATGCCATCATTGGTAAGTACATTATTCCCTAATATTGTGGAACCATTCAACCTATTGGTCCAATGAACAATTCAATACAGTGTTGTACAGGTGCAAATACATCAGGCCAAAAAGTCTCCGGTTTCTGGTATGTGCGCGCGTCGCCGTAGCCATGCGCGTCGGCAAAATGAAAAATTTTTTTTTTCAATGAAAGATGATGTCTCAAAACCGCCAAACTCACTTGTTTGACTGAAATGCTGCTGCTGCACAATTTTAACGTGTTTTTAGATTGGGTTATGGTCGAGAATAGGCTTTATGTGGCCTCTTTAGACTCCCATATATTTGCACTAAGTTTAGTCAGGCACCATTTGCAGTCATCAGCCGACATTTGAAGCAGAAAAATCAGGTAAAAAAAAAAAAAAGCCGCGTCGCCGCACCACTTTTTGGGCAAGCTCCATACCAGAAACCGGAGACTCTTTTTTGGGGCATTATTGGGTGTTTCATACCAGAAAGTGAATGCAAATTTGTAAACTTTGAAAACATTTCAAATCTTTCACAAAGTCACAGCAAATGTTTTGAGGCATCAAATTTGCTTGACTTTCTCATTCGCATGGATGATGAACTGACCTAAATCCTACGGGGAGGGGGTACCACTGTACATTTTTTTTTCTTCTGATGTCATCGGCACACAATTTTTTTTGTATATGTGCCTTTGAAGAGATGAGTTTATAATAGACTGATGTCTTGCAGATGTCTAGGGTTCTAGCTGTTCAATTTGTTTCCATTAAAGCCAGAGTCCATCATTTGCAGCTATCCAAAAAGTAACTGACGTAATTATTGTTGAAAAACATACTTGGTTGAAAGATAGTAAGTGGACTAAACTCCCTGTGAAATTATTCTTTCTGGCAAGCTGTCATTTTGAAGAAATCAACAAAAGAAGTCATTTCCAACAGTGCTTCTTAAGAAGCACCGTAGGAAATTCAAATTAGTAGTTAGTTTTGTTATTCGGCAAAGTGCGCGCAAGCATTGGCACGACGCACACTTGCGCGCGGTTGCTATAATTCGTCGGATCAGTGCGCGACATCGCGTAATGGCAGTCGGCTCAGTGAAAGCGTGTCTCGGTTGCTGAATTCAGGCCCAATTCCAAACATGATTCAGCAACTTTTGATTTGAAATCGAGTTCCTAGAATGTTATTTTGCTCGAAATATACAGCTAAAGCTGAGCTGAAACTTCATCAGGTTCGTTGTTCAGCACCCTTCTTTAGATCTTGAGCACTTTTGTTGCTTCAAACGAACAAAATGCACAAATTACAAATGATGGACTTTACCTTTTACCCTCCTCACAGTGCTTGAAGACGCTGATCTGGACCTGGTCATTCCAGCTACCCTCTTTGCTAGCGTGGGTACCCAGGGCCAGCGCTGCACCACCACTCGCAGACTGGTAAGATTTGATAATATTGTGTTTGTTTCTGGACCTGAAGTGCTTTCGTGGCGTGCCATCCTCGTACTGACTGTAATGTTGTAAACTGCTTAAACCAAACAAAAAGCACAATTATTTGCCCTAGTTACACTTTAACCTTCCTACTATTTAAGAGGTCACCAACGGTGAAAGTTTTTCACCTCCTTTTCGACCCCGTTCCCACTAGATCCACCAATTAGGGGATCTGATCCACCTTTTGCCAAATTGCCGGATCAGATCCCCCAATTGGTGGATCAGATCCTGCAATTGTGTGTAGTGGGAACACTAACCGCTATAAGGTGGATCAGGATCAGATCCACCTTTCTTGATCCACCTCTGGACTAGGATACAGATCCCCCAATTGGTGGATCAGATCCGGCAAGTGGCAAATCACGATCAAGTGGGAACGCAACATGTGGATCTGATCCGGCAATTTGACCTGTCAACATCCGCCCGCTGCACATGTGGCGTGAAAATGTTGCGGTCTTATGAATGAAGAAACACGTTTTGAGGCATGTAGCTCATGTGAAAATTTCCAACGTGCACAACATGCACAATAAACAACCGCTGAACTTCGGGCTAGCACGATGCACGAATGCACGATGCATGCATGAGCGCACGTGGTATATCCTAAAACTACGCTAGGCCTTTTACAATTTTTCGTTGCGTATTCTTCCATTTTCTAAACCTTTTTCATTTGTGAAATTTTATTCATGTTTCCATCCGTAAATAACTCTGTGTTAGGCCCCCCAAAAATAAAATCGGTTTCTGGTCGGACCGAAGATCCAGAATTAATGCGGCGACACGTTGTTTTGTTTTTTTTGTGGCTTTTTTTTTTTCAAGCTTGAATTGTACAGACAAGGTGTGTACTATTTTGCTTTTTTGTGTCCTCATTATACATTGGTGTCCTCCATAATTTGCCTTGGTGCCCTTTATCATTTGCCTTGGTGCAATTTCCCCATTCCTTGGTGCTCCTTGGTACAAAAATTTGAGGAGGTGCGGCAATAGAGGGCGCTGTTGTAGCTTCCGCGTTAATTTGAAAAAAAGAGAAAAGGTTGATGCGCATGATTAAAATCGACGCGCGCACTGACCAGAGACCGATTACTTTTTTTTTTGGCCTTAGTGTAAAGCCTGCACTCACCAAAACACGTTACTTTGGCACAGAACCATGGAAAAGCTTACGAGTGTGCGATGAGAATATAGCCGATAACGCGGTACGAACTGAGGTGACAAATCTGTAGTATTGATTATAGAAAATTGGAAAATAACGTCGTAGCACATCATATGACCATTTTTAACCAATGAAAAACTTCAGAACCAGGGAATCCCTTATCGATGCATTGGTTTCTGCCGCTCGAATGTGACGTCACACAATGAACGGTGCTGTTATGCACGGATCCTCTATATGGATCCGTGATTTATATCGGTGAATTCGCGTAATTTATGTCGGTGAATTTTGATATCGCTGTTTGAAAATTGACCCGTCCTAGCATGCAACACTCGTACTCCCACAGAGCGCGCGCTCAGCAAGCTAAATACCGAACTGAGTAACCTTTCGGACTCGACATTTCCGTTCAAAAAGGTGGATCAAGCATAAGTGGGAACGCGACTTGCGGTTTCGTTGCGGTAAAATAACGATCACACCAAAATGCCGGATCTCGATCCACCTTTTCCCAATTCAAGTGGGAACACGGTGTAAAGGCTTAAACTGGAAGCCTACTAATCCTCTATGAATAATGTCCTAAACTGCCAAATGAACAATCTAAATCTCTATCTTGCCTCAGGTACATTCTAAAGATTGCATGCATAAACTGGAAGCATAATCTTCTGACTGACTGTTTAGTCAGTGAGTATAAAAAAATGTTCTAAACTGCCTTGAACCGATCATAAACCATTGTACCTTCCCCCAGGTACATTTTAAAGATTACAGGCACAAACTGGAAACCCAGTCCTATGACTGAGCATATGGGCTCCGTGCACAAGTACCCCCTCAACGGTAAGGAAGGGAGAGTTGGGGGAGACCACTTGGAGTTACATTCAAATGCATTCCGATGATGCCTGATGTTCACAGGTAGATGATATGGTATTGTGCACATATTCACGGATTCCAAAAAAAAACAACCATGTTTTTTTTTAATGATTAACCAGAGAACATGTGAAGACAACAATTATGAAATTTATGCCCTATTACTTGACAGATTCCTGAAATATTAATGAAAAGAAAGAAAAGAAAAATGGAATAAGAACACTCAAATGAGGTCAAACCCACACCCCGATGCCCCTGATTCCCGCCCCTGTTTCATAATGGCGGCTCGTATCAAGTGCCCATCCATTTTTCTTCTTCATTTTCCCCTGCTTGTTGTAGGCCATGTAATGGATAGACTTGTAAATATCTTGGATTAAACTGAAATATTTTCAATAGTAAGGACTGGCACAAAATGAAAAAAAAAAAACTAAAAAAACTAAAAACAACAATAATCGACAAAATTAAATAAAACCCTTTCAGTTGACGTTAAAAAGAAAGAACCGTAGTGAATACAAAAACATGCCCGGTGTAAACTAGCAGTCATAAATCTTCTCTACTTCAGGGCTCAGTACACAAGGAAAACGAACAAAGAGGCTTGTCCCCTTGCCTGGAAATCAATCCGGGCAAACTGATTTCACTTTTACAGTGTGGTTTGGAAACACTTTCCACTCCTCACACTGATAGGTACGAAGCTGTTTATCCCCAGCACAAACTCTCCAATGGCTGGGAAAAACATGGTTGATGAGAACAGAATCGTTTAAGAATTCCCAAAGTGACGATCCACTATATTTCAAGTAGATTACCCTTTAGCCCGCAAGTGGTTTAAGTGCTGCCGATGGAGTCAAAATAATCAAATCTACCAGTTTGCTCTCGTCAGGGGAAACTCACCGTTGCCGTTCTCTGGGCACAATTTGATAGCAAGTTAGACCCTCCGTCTAGACTGTCTAACTGCCCTAACGATCTTGTTGTGAAAGATTCGGTTGTTTTTAATGCCTTGATTATGACTTAAGAAGAAGGTCTTGGAATTGCTGATCAGAAATTTGCTACCTTGTCCACTGGGACATTAAATGGGTAATAATCGGGTCTATAAACTTAATCGCTTTGCTCAGCTTGAGCTGAGACGTCCCGTGGCAATGCTTAAAGGTAGATTTTTGTTTGTAGCAAGCATCTTCGTGTTTTCAGGATATAAGGAGAGAAAGGGGCTACCTGCCTCCGAATGGCTGTCTCTTTGCGATAAAACTTTCTTCTCATTGTTTGATCAAAACTTACGAAGTAGATGCTCAGATATTTAACTCCAATTTCTACACATCGGTCCTTCCAAAATGGCTTCATTCAAACATTGAAAAGAATTGAACTACTAATTTTTTTTTTTTCTTAGACCTGCACATTTTACTCAAGGTTCCAATTACCTGTTCCAGGGGTTAATGTAAAAACTTACTGAGCAAAGAACAAATTGCTATGAGAGAGGTTTACCAGTCAAAATATCATGCAATGTGTATTGCTCGTCACTGGGTCTCACTGGTTTTCGTATCACTCTTAAACTTGCTAAACAAACAATGCTGGCGACTACATAAAGAGCAGTCAAATGATTGACTGACATCAGGGCAGCCAAAAACAGTTCTTGCTAGATGGGCCGTCCCAAATTCCTCGTCCACTTTATTCATGAGCCTGTTACATCTGACACCTATGATTTTGTAATTGCAGATGCACTCCTTAATTGTATTCTTCCTTCAAGAGTGATTGAGTGGAGCAAATGACCTACCCAACAAAATTGAAAGTCGTTAGAAGCCAAACTGTCCCATGTTGTTTAACATTTAAACATTGTTGAGCTCAGGCTTTGTCTGTCCCGGTGAGAGTTTGTTCACAGAGGACCTGAACTATGAAGCTTCCCACCCACGTATTGAAAACATCAAACACACCGTACTTGTTTGGTTTTGGTTGGTTTTATTTGGAACTCACACAAAAATACAAAAGAATAGGGAATTCCGAAAGCAATACACAGAGATACGTGGTCATTTAACCATTAAGAAAAAGAACAACAGAAAATAGAGCACAGTTGCAGTATTCTATAAAAAAAAAAATACACAAAATTGAAAAAGAAAAAAATACACTAAATTGAAAAAAAAAAACCCTGGTGTCTGGATAGCCCATAAAGCCAAAGGCTTATTTCCAGGTTGGTTTCCTTTCAACCAGATGTTTGAAATAGGCTAAGTAAACAATCCAAAACATAACATTTTCGGGGATTTTCTGGACCTAGTGCCCCTTTAAGTTGCACATAGTTCATAAGATCAGCAATGGTTACCCAGTTTCATTAATTGAGTAAAAGGAACTTACATGTATGTTACAGTTACAGTTACAGTTAAAGGGAATGAACAACATTTGCTTTTGCTGCAATTTTCAGAAATAAATGGATTTGGAGGATTAGTATGCTATAGCAAATATTGTTAAACTGGCTTGTTTCATGTTTTGGGCTTGTTTATGCTGGAGAAACCAAGAAAACAAATCATGTTCTTGTGGTCTGGTTCCCCGACCCCACTTAAGATGAAACGGAGAAACGTAAAGACTTTGGGGAATTGTAAGGTCAAAGAATCACTCTAGCAGGTTAGTACCCCTTCACAGGTGTAAAATCTATTGCAAAGAAAATGCGGAATAACTTAATATGAAAAAAAAGGAGCAGTTTCTGAAAAAAGCCAGTTTTTTTCCAACGCTGGTCGGCCGACCAGCGTTGGAAAAATGGAGTTTTTCTTGAAAATGTCAGCAAACAAGGAGCCACAATTTTACACGATGCTTTAGACCGTCAATCCCCAACGATTCAGTAAGGTATTTTGTGATAATTTGATCATTTCGTTTTTTGATGTTTGCAAATGTTGTATCTTCCCTTTAAAGTCCCCCCCCCCAAGATATTGCTCAAAAACAGGATACCTTGACCCTACAGACAGTAGATGTCTTTGACACA